CATCTCCTCTCTCAAATTTAGTGCATATAAGTATTTAGCGAGGGCTCATTGGATCATTGGTGGTTGTATTTATCTAGCAATGGACGTTCATACCCATGTTTTAATTGCTTTGGATGACAGGTCATGTAATTAAATCCTAATAGGACTGCTAGTCACTTCTAACGTTTACCGTCTATTTAAATTGTATATATCATTCCTTTTGAAGCAATACAACTTACTCAATATGTCAAATGTTAATAATTTTAAGAAGAAAATATCAAATGCGTTATAACTAACCGATACAAGTTGCTCGACATGCCACAAATTTTCATTTCCTTAAATGATTAAGAAATTACACAAAGAGATAAAATGGGTTATGTCGAACAAGACTTGTTTTTATTAAAGTCAACAAAATAATTTAATTACATGATCAGCCATCGGAACAGTTAAACTATAAAGCATAAATTCCCAATTGAGTGATAAACACAATGATAAATAGCCACACGATTAAATAAGCGATGCCACACGATGGACGTAAGAACCGGTGCAAGCTCCGCACAGCGCCCTTGCGCCGCTGACACGTGTAAGTAAAATCCCTCGCGCGTCGCCGAAGGCGGGGCCCACCTGATCAGAGCAAACTGACAGCTGTACGACGGTTCCTTCCGAAAACGGTGGTCGCGTACTTCGAGGCGAAAGATGAGCGTGGCTTTCGTGGTAACGTAACGGAGCAAGATTTCTCGGATCCGTGCTTAATATACCTCTCATTTGTTTTTAGCAGCGCTTGTTATTTAAGTTGGACAAATTTTTAAAACAGTCCTCTTTTGGACTTTTAATCTCAAAAAAGACCCGTTTTTAACTTATTTTTAGAAACTGATCTAGTTTCAGTCTTAGCGCTGAAACCAGGTCGGTTTCTGGAAAAAAAAATTCCGAAACTTCACGGGAGGTGAAGTTTAGTAAGTTTTACTAAACTTCACGGGAGTTAAACTCCCGTGAAGTTTCGGATTTTTTTTTTTCCAGAAACCGACCTGGTTTCAGCGCTAAGGTTGAAACCAGGTCGGTTTCTGAAATTAAGTTGAAAACGAGTCTTTTTTTTAGGATTAAAAGTGTAAACGAGATTGTTTTGAAAATTCCTGCTATTTAAATTTGTATTCTAATATCTTTTTTTTTTCACTATGCTTTATGGGGTCTTTAAGCATATAGATTCTGGCTAAATTTTATCGCTCGATCTATAAAAACTCTATTTTAAAAAAAACACTCGTCGTCATGCTTGGGCTGAGGTTGGGCCCGTGAAGTGGGGCCCGCGTTGAGAAAGAGGATAAAAAGTGGAGCGACGACGGCGCGGCTTGTGAATTTGTTGGCTAATAATAATATCCAGAGGGAGTTTGGGGGAATTTGGATTGCGACTTGTGAGGCGCTCCCTTGAGCGAGAAATTGTAGCCAGGAGATTGGCCTGATTGTGGATTCTTTCACTATCCTTTGCGTGTTTAAAAATTGGGAAAAATGCTTCCAGCCCTCAAAACCAAAGAAAATGTACTTTTCTTACAAGACTTTTTCAACGGGTGCTTTGCTCCAAAAATTTGCCGCGGTTTTCTTCCAGCACCAAAAACGAATCCCCAGACGAAATGTCGTTTAAACCCCTCACGAAATGCCCAAAACACCATTCGACAGCTTGTAACTGTCGCCCTCTCACGTCGGAAATATGACGTTGATATTGTAGCATTAAATGTTGATTAGAATGCTGTTTAAAAATTTCATTCTGACCCGTGGGAGATTGACTCGTCATGATCCCACAAATTAAAACCCAAAAAAGAAAAAAAAAAGAAAGAAGAAGAAGAAGAAGAATAGTCATAATAATAGATAATTGGATAATATTCTTGACTTGCAAAAAAAAAGTCATAATAATAAAATCATGTCCTAATAAACTCGAGTAACCGGGAGGTTTAATTACGAGAACATTTTTACTCAGCACATGTTTATGGGGTCCAACTATTCACACTCCTAAACAGTAACTTTGGGGGTGTGTGAGGACTAAATTGCCCTTCTCCCAAACCAAAACAGGACAAGTCCATTCCAGAAACACCCTCAACATCAAAAGGGTATTTTCGACAATCCAACTCCCAAAATTACTGTTTGGGAGTGGATATAGCAAACATGATGTTTATGTCACGTACTAATCAAAATTATCTTTTACTCATACGCTTCTCTCTCCTGTTTCTTTTTTGGGAAGAAAACAAAAACTTGGAATCTCTTACTCTAGTGTCCACGTCGCTAGCCACTCGATCCTCTTCAAGGGACCACAACCACGTAAAAAACTTTAGTAGGTTAATCACAAATTAAAGAGGGTATTATAAATAACATACTAACATTATTGTCAATTTGATTATTAGAAACTGACAAATAGGACCGATCATAATTCACGAAGACGGAACCTACACGTTTATTTCTATAATAAGTTAGGACCTGTTTGATTGTTTTCCTAAAAATGAAAGAACAAGTAAGGAGGTGATGAAAACGTCGAAAAAGGTTTTCTCTAATTGCCTCGACAAAAGTTATGGAATGTGCGTCCTAAAATGTGGGTCACGTCAATCAATAATAATCTGACACATTAACATTTTTTATGGTTTCACCCAAAAAAAAATATTATGAAAAAGTTTTTCTCTAAGTTTTCCACGAATTTTGGATAACTAGAAACTTAGATTATCATTTTCCTCGCGTTAGATTTTGACACATTGGATTGATAAGGACGTAGATGCATAGTTCAACTCAACATGTGGAAGAAAAATAGGAAAAAAAGAAGATTCGCCCGTGGTGGCAATTGACCCCTGTTCCATTTGAGTACTATATGTAATCCTTGAGATCATCACATATAGTACAGAATAAAAGATAGAATGTTGCTAAGTGGTGAATTAATTAGAGATGGTGGGGTATTAGGATTATACTATTGAGGCTTTAAGTTTACACGTTGGAAAATGATAGGGGCACACCCCTAACCACACCTCCAACCACACCCTCTCTCTCATTTGCTACAGTGTACCGGGCCCCACATGTGATTTTAAAATTTTTAAATCACATGTGAGAGCCGGTGCACTGTAGCAAATAAGAGAAGAGGTGTGGTTGAAGGTGTGGTTGGGGGTGTGCCCCTAGTGACACCCTTGCACGTTTGTTGATTTCTCTGTTGTTTTTTAATACAAGATACCTCAAATATCATCTAATGCAATCTCTACAAGCCCCCTCATCTCCTCCACCAAGAGAAAAGTCTTATCTTTTGTCTCAGCAAAATTTACTGTAAAGTCAGGAGCCGTATCATCCTCTCTTTGAATAGATAAAGGCTTTTAAGTTTTTAGGGAGGTGCTTTAGAAGCATGTTTTTAACTTTTTATTGTTATAATTCCCTACATACCCTTTAGCTTTTGACATTACTACCGTATCCATACTTAACATAGCTTGTATATTTTGATAGCTAAAGATATACCTATTTTAGTATTTTCACTTATAATAACACTTTATTGCTTTTCAAAGTAGCTCATGATATATAATTACCAAACAGCTACCTAAGACAGCTTATATAAATTGCTCTTATAAGCTGATTATATAAGCAACTTATTATAAGCTCCCGCAATATCAAATTGACCCCCAGTTAATTTGTACGAACGTTGGTTGAAAATTAACAAAACAGAATGCAGTAGCCTTATAAAACTAGCGATTACTAGATCAAGCAACTAGTATCAATCAATTATCTGGTAAGGTTTAATTTCCATTCTCTATTACACAAACCCAAACAACAACAACAATAATAATAATAAACAAAAATAACTATAACACTTTGACACCAATATTGCGGATATGTTCTTGCCGTAGCCATAATAAACTAGAAGTTGAAGACCCAACTATTTAATTAGAAGGAACAAATAACTTACTTATATGAACTCAGACCCTTCACATGGACAGTGTATGCAAAATAGCATCAATACCTCTGTTACATGTACAGATCAAATAGAAATCCAACGAGAAGGATCACAACCTCCATAACATGACGCAGCATGTCAAAGCAGCCGCATAACCAAAAGACGAAGAAAAAGAGAAGCATGAAC